TCCAATTGGGTATTTGCACAATACAAGTAATATTAGCTCAAGTCGGGTATTACTATCTCTAGGTTTAGCCCTTTAATTGGGGCTATCAATTTCTTGAGTTCACCCCAATTTCTTGTTAGCCAAGTTTTCCTAGACTTAGTCTCTCTTTCTCACGTAGAGGCTAAGTCAAATAGGCATGAATCAATGTATGCAACTATTGATAATATGGTCCAATCATAAACAAGGCTAAATATCACTAACCCATTCAAAAATAAGCCCTAAATTAAATACCCATCAAATAGCCACACTAGGGTTGGGTCACAACCCTAGCTAAAGATTTAGCTACTCATGAAAAGTACAAAAATTAAAGAAGAAATTAAAATAGAATGCATATTAATTGATTAGGGAAAGAAAATCTAATGTACATATATTAATCTAATACAAAAATCCTCAAAATAGCAAAGAAAACGGCTCAGGTGCTCTTCTCCAACGTCACTTAACCTAAAAATGAAAAAAAGTTCTATTTATACTAAGCTGAAAATATCTAACAAAATTGCCCCTGAGGAGGTTGTGCGGCCGCATAATTCTGGCGCGGTCCGCACATTGAGCTTCTGTGGCCGCACAATTATTGTGCATTCCGTATTCTTGGAATTTTAGGCTTGGAACTTCTGGGCTTCAGTGGTCCGCATAAAAACGAGTGTGACCGCGCTTCTGATTGTGCGACTGCATAAAAATGATACGGTCTGCACTCCTTGATTTTGAACTTGAATCCTACTCTCTGATTCTTCACTCCTGCGGACCGCATAATAGTGAGTGCGGACGCACTTGATATTCTGTGGCCGCATAATTTTGGTGCGGTCCGCACTCCTTCAGCTTGCCCAAATACCATTCTCTGAATCTCCTCTCTGCGGCCGCACTAGAATTGTGCGATCCGCACTGCTGGCCTTTTTGCCCTATTTTGGTTCTTATTCACTTTTGACTCCTTTATGAGTTGATTTTTACTTCTTTGGCTCATATCCCAATATTCCTGCAAGTAAGTATAATTTTTTAGTTTTTGGGAATGCCTTTTAGCATTTTTGAGCTAAGTCGCAGTTAAAAGAGAGCAAATAATCGGTCAAAATTCCTACTTATCAACCACGCGGTATGATAAGGTGGGCTAAAATGCGGGAAGCTATTTCGGAAAAAATAATTTTCAAAACTAAATACAAGGCTCCCGCGGTGATTTAAGAAAAGATTGTGAATTATTTTATGATTTGGACTACGAAACGGTACCTCGGTAATGACTCTTGTTGGTAATTCTCTATTACTTCACTTGTGTTTGGTTGATTTGTTTTCCTTGGCATAACATCTTCCTTATTTTCCTTTGTGATGTATTATTTGCCTTAGTTCAATGTAGTTAGTTTTGGTACACTTCTTACTTGTTTCATTTTCATTGTTATTATTATTACACTATTAAGTACTTGTTCTGTTTCTTAATTTATTCCAATAGGGCCTTGACCTGACCTTCTCACTACTTTACCGAGGTTAGGCTTGGCACTTATTGGGTACTGTTGTGGTGTACTCATGCTATACCTCTACACATCTTTTTGTGCATATGTAGGTACCTTCAGTCCAATCACTAGTGAGACGAGTTCAGCTTTGGAGCCTTGAAGGTATACATGTCAGCGTCCGTAGGCCTCGGAGTCCCCCGCTATCTAGTTTATTTCATTTCTTTCCTTTTGTAGACACATCGTTGTATAGGGATGGTCAGTATTTATTCGTAGAGTTTGTGACTTGTTATCACTGGATTTTGAGAAGTTGTATATGCTAAGTTGCAGAGTTTATTTTATACTAGTTGTTGAGTTATTGAGACTTTAATTATTATTATTATTTCCGTTATATTCTGCATGAATGTTAGGCATACCTAGTCTTAGAGATTAGGTGCCATCACGATATCCTACAGAAGGAAATTGGGGTCGTGACAACAAAGGAAACTGATAAACCATACCAAACCGATAATCCGAGTTAAACCGGAAAATAATTCGACTATGATTTGGTTTGGTGTTCGAAAAAAAACCCGATCATAATTGATTTGGTTTGATTTTAACTAAAAAAAAAAAATCAAACCGAAACTAAACCAGCCCAACATTACATGTATACAAGTTTTTAAAATATTATATATGTAAAAATATTTATTGTAATATTCCCTCCGTTCCAATTTATGTGAACCTGTTTTAGACTTTTGAAATTTGTGGTCCTAAACAATTCAAAAAGGGGCCCAGAGTATTTGTGTGGTTATAAAAGCTTCTCATAGTTTCAAATTGGTTTAGCCAGTGAAAATGCATAACTTATTTTTTTTCTTGTTTAGTTATGTAATTAATAATTAGTACTTATTAGTCGTACTTATATGATATTATTCTACTGGGACCAAAGAAATATTGGGGCACAAGTTATATATTTTATGCTACAAAAAATTTACCGGGAAAACCATAAAACTCAAGAAAAAACGTGGTTGAAAATTCAACTTTTGTTGGTTTGATTTGGTTTATAGATTTGAAAATCCGATACAATTTGGTTTAGTTTGGTAATTGAAAAAACCAAACAAACACCCCTACTTCAAGATATTGTTCCAGACAATCTCCATAGTTATATTCAACATATCCAATTCTTTGACAGAGGGAAGAAGGATCAATGCTACTTGATGCTATCTCAGGATGGTAATTTTAGTTTGCTACTGCCAGAGAGTTCATCAGGAAGAAGAGAAACAAAAATAATACCCTCAGTCACATTTGGGATAAGAGACTTCCTTTTAGAATCTCTTTTTTGAACTGGGGAATCTTGAAAAACAAACTCCCTTTGGATGATACAGTTACTAGATTTGGGCAACATGTGGTTATCAAATGTACTTGTGCTGCCCAGCTACAACAGAATCATCTTTCCACCTCTTTGTGGACAGTCAAGCAGCTAATTAAAAGGTATGGAATTTCTTTGCAAGTTTCCTAGGCATTACATACAGCAATCATCACATCAAAAATATTATGTGGAGTTGGTGGAGCAACAATACAGGTAACATTCTGTTAGATTTGACCATTAAACTTATTCCCACACTTATTTGCTGGGAGCTTTGGAAAAAGAGATGTGCCTCCAAATATGGTAAGTTAACATATCAGTGGGTAAGGTTATTCACGAGATTTTGTCAACCTCAAGATTTCTCGAAGAAAAGAGTTTTGAGTTCGTATCTTTAAGCCTCAATTGGAAAGATTTTTTGTATCACAGTTTATGGCTTTAAGCCAAGACTTTGCAGCTTCCCTGTCAGTTGGATCAAACCTGCTCCAAGCTTAGTCAAATTAAACATGGACGGTAGCTCTATGGGTAGAGATAAGAAGGCTAGAGCAGGGGTATTCTAAGGGACCATCAAGGTTTAATGATCATGGTCTTCTCCGTCTGTATGATATTCTGCTCCAATAACATGGCCGAGACTCAAGCTGCTAACTTTGGGCTCCAATGGTGTATAGATAATAACATTAAGAATTTTAACTTGGAGATGAACTCCAAGATAGTGGTTGACATGATCAAGGGTACTAATAAACCCTCCTGGAAACTTCATCATTGGATTGCCAAAATCCAAGATAAGCTGAAATTTCTCAATGCAGATGTTACCCATTGCTATAGAGAAGCAAACATGGTAGCAGATTCTTTAGCTAAATTTGGTGCTATTGAAGATGCTTCCATGATCTTTTTTCAAATTAATGAGCTACCTCGTCAGGTGAAAGGAGCTTATATCTTGGATAAAATTGGAATGCCCAATTTTAGAATCAGATCACAAAAGAAAGGTATTGGGTAAGGTTTTTGAACACATGGATTCTGGCAGAGAATCCTTATAATGGTCATAGGCCTTCTTGTTTTGAGAGCTTATCTGTAAAAGGGAACTTCCCCCTTAATTTAGTTCCCCTTTCTCTTGTAGTATCATTTATGTATTTTAGAGGTTTTGGTTTTATGTCTCCGTCTATTGTACACTTTTGTTAATAGTATACAAAGTAGGGTCCAGGCCAAACTCCCACCATCATAATGGTAGTGAAAAGTGAAAACCTGGGTAGATGAATTAATTTTTTTTTAAAAACGCAAACATTTTGTGTAATACATTTGGTTGGTTGAATTATGGTTACTATATTTAACTTTTTTATGAACAAAATACCAATTTACCTCATTTAGTGTTTCCTTTTCCTTGTAGCAAATTAATGGTTACAACTTTCAAGCTTCTATAAATTAAGGCTCTTTATTTTCTTTTTCACTTAATAGCACTATAATGTAGCATTTCATAGTTGGGTCGTTCAATGACCGAACCACGTAAAATTTTTGTGTTTATCTCTCGTTATATATAAATTGTTATCAATAAGAAAAGGCGAATTAGTCATATTTTAACTTTATTTTATGATAAATAGTTCAAACCGATTACTACAAAGAAATCAAAATATGGGAGGTTATAAGTATAGTGATCACAAGAGAAATAGTATTACAAAATCAACCTGAAAGGAAGGTCTCAGAAATTATCCCGAATCTTTATTTATTAACCATACAAGTTGAAGGTGCTTTAATAATCAATTGATAAAGCAGCTAGCAAGAGGTGACTTTTGTTCAAACTTGAAAAATCAGAGACTTCTCCAAGTCACTTGAAAATCAGCGAGGCATCCTTCATTGTTTTTCAGTTTTGAAATTCCTCCGCTGTCTTGCAAATATTGAAGCAACAAATTAATAATCACAAAGATGACATTTAGGAAGTATTTTTATGAAAAAATTATTGCACACATTAATCAATTATATCACTAGGGGGTTTGCCAATATTTTTCTGATCAATAGTCTTGTCTTGATCCAAGTTATCTAAAAAAAAAAAATACTTTACCATTTTCTTTTGTCATATTTTCTTTTCTTTCTCAAAAGAAAATTCTTTTTTCCAAGGGAAATTATTCGGTTAGCTAGCCAGCCAATAGCCATCTTAATTATGACACTGGAGTAGGCAAACGAAACCGAGAAAGATGCTCATGAAATACAAAAGGCAGCATAATATTATAATATATAAATTATAAACCTTTGAGTACGGAGTACAGACACAAAATCAACTGATTCACGAACCTGCTCTTTCATTTTTGCAAGCTCGCTTATTTGCAACAATTAACACAACACGATAAACAAGTGATTATAAAAGAAAATAGATGCAAACACAAAATGGCCAACATAAGAAAAGGCTGAAATAGGCATTGAGGACATTGGCTTATTAGCAAGTGAAGCCAGTAGGAGGATTCCTTCCACAGTTGTTGAGAACAAGGCTAAGAGAGAGTGGCACATTCAGATTTATTCCCAGCACATTTGCCCTTATGGCTGTGCACAAGCAAACTGCCGCCTCTAAATCCGCTAGCCCCGCGATCAAGCTGCAGCATGGCATCGTTGGAGGACTCCCAATTACCGCTCCCACCAATCCACCAACTAAATTTGCACATACACCCAACTTCAGAGCATCTCTCGGGCACCTGCCTTGTCCATTGCCACCTCCTCCGCCATTGCCCGAACCACCTCCGTTGCCGGAGCCGCCACCATTGCCCGAACCACCTCCGTTTCCGGAGCCGCCACCATTGCCCGAGCCACCAGTGTTACTGCCATTGCCACCACCATTACCGGTGCTAGGAGGATTATGATGACAAGAGCCACAATCAGTTCCACTGACTATGGCAAAGAAAAGGAGATTCAAGGAGAGGAAAAGGGTAACTGAGGCTCTTGTTTTGAAAGCCATGATATAAGGAATCTAAGGCAGAATTTCCTCCCTACAAAAATTGTAAAGAGAAGTAAATGCAAAGATGAGATAGTATAAATCTGGTACTAATGTAGGCTATTTATAGTGCTAGGAGGATGAATAATTTACGAACAATCCCTCCTAAGCTTAGGGGGAGATATTAAACTAGTAATGCGTGTGGTGCATGGTGTTGAAAAAAAGGTTTGTCATTGTTACCAACTCTCAACTCTTAGTTGATTTACTAATTTTGTTGTTTACAGCTCCTCTGCTACCTTCATAGTTACTAATGTAGGTACTTAACTAGGGAATCCTCTATTATAGTGATGCCCGTGACTCGGTGCATCTGCATGACGTATTCTAATTAAGCCATCCTGCTTCCTATTTCCCATTACTTAACCAAATTATTAACCTCCACATTAGGAGATCGTAAATATCACAAGATTTCAGGGGCAAGGTGGAACTAGTATGTTGATTACGGGTTCGGCCCCGACCGATAGCTGCTAGGTTTCCCATCTCATCTAAATTCCCCGTCTTCAACCCTACTCGTATGAGGCAAAAACTCTTCCCACGTACGGTTCGGAGGCCGAGACCCGGCCCACCCCAACGGTAAGGGTAACACAAAAATGATATATTTCATGACTCAACGATTGCCTTTGGTTTCGGAACTCCATATGGGGAAGGGGCTGAGTCGGTAACTTTGTATATTTATCTTAATAAATTTATTGAATATGTACAAATTATTTATTTAGAGTTCAGTTAATTGGACTGAAATCCCGAATGCATAAGTTTCAGCTACGTCAAGATATATATTGTAACTCCTATATTTACTACGTTCATTTCTGTCACAACCCGAAATTCTCACATTCGGACCGTGATGGCGCCTAACATTTTACTTGTTAGGCAAGCCAACGTTAGAATAATATTATCTATTTTAATACAATTTTTTAATTTATTAATAACAAAAAAAATAAATGCGGAAGTAAAGTCTGAAATGTAGTGAATAATCCATAAAAATAACGTTGTCTAAATATCATCCCAAAATTGGTGTCACAAGTGCACGAGCTTCTAGAATAATACCAATAAAGGTCTGAAATAAATAAGCTGTCTGGAAATAAACACACAGCAAAAGTAAAATAGACGGGGATTTCAGAATTGCGGACGCCATGCAGCTATACCTCAAGTCTCCTCTGGTAGTTGAAATCCGAGCAAGTCGATGGTACGCCATCGGGACCAACTCCAAAATCTGCAGAAGAAGTGCAGAGTGTAGTATCAGTACAATCGACCACATGTACTGGTAAGTGCTGAGCCTAACCTCGACGAAGTAGTGACGAGGCTAAGGCAGGTCACTTACATTAACATGTATGCAATATTAGTAACAACAATAAATAATAAAAACAAATCAGGTAACCCATTTATAATAATTGAAGCCAATTCAGCAGTCATAACCCATTATTATTTCAACCAATTTTCGTTGCAGCATGCAAACCGCTCCCACAATATATTCATTTTCAATCCTCCAATATATTTATTTTAATCAAGTATATATATCAACTTTTAGATAAGTCTGTTGCGGCGTACAATCTGATTCCCCCGATATAGACTTTTAAATAAGTCTGTTGCGGCGTGCAATCCGTTCCTCCAAAATATTCAATTCAATCAATTCTGTTGCGGCGTGCAACCTGTTCCTCCAATATATTCATTTCAATTAATTCTGTTGCGGCGTGGAACCCGTTCCTCCAATATATTCATTTCAATTAATTCTGTTGCGGCGTGCAACCTGTTCCTCCAATATATTCATTTCAATTAATTCTGTTGCGGCGTGCAACCTGTTCCTCCAATATATTTTACCAACTCTTAAATATAATAAAAATACTCCAATAAATAACACGTTTAATGAGAAACTATTAAGCATCAAGACATACAATAATTATAATTCATTTATGAAACAAATAATGACAAGTAGCAAATAATTGTGAAAATCAGGGAGAAAATAGGCAGTATAATATTTAATATGATAAATGTCAAATAGCAATTAATACACATAAATCAAATCATCATGTAGTAATTATTACAGAAATTCAAGAATTAACATTTGACAAAGAATAGGAGAGAAACAATTATCATAACAATTAATTCGTGTATTAAAACAAGTTTAGGATTTTCAAATAATTATGCAAACAATTAATTTTGACGACGTATAGACACTAGTCACCTCACCTATACGTCGTTCACATGCATTTCACATAACAAATAATTTAAGGGATCTATTTCCTCAAGTCAAGGTTAACCACGACACTTACCTCGGTTTACAAATTCCAATCAATTACTCGACCACAGCTTTTCCTTTTAAATTTATCTCCAAAAGCTTCAAATCTATTCACAAATAATTAGATATACTCAATACGAATCATAGGAATTAATTCCATATGAATTTACTAATTTTTCGGATAAAAATCTGAAATTCACTTTAAAAATTGAAAGTGGGGCCCACGTCTCACATTTCGAAAAACCTTACGAAATCCGAACACCCATTCTGAGACAAGTCCAACTATACAAAAATTATCAAATTCCGATGTTAAATGGACCCTCAAGTCTTAAATTTTTATTTTTGGAAGATTTTATAAAAATCTGATTTTTCTTCCATAAATTCACGGACTCATGATATAAATGAGTATGGAATCATGAAATATAATCAATATATGATAAGGAACACCTACCCCAATATTTTTCCGTAAAAATCGCCAAAGAATCGCCTTACCCGAGCTCAAAAATGGAAAAAGGTTGAAAATTGGACGAATCCCATTTTCCAGAACTTAAGTTCTGTTTAAGCAATTTTTACCTTTTGCGAACACGGTCAGTGCCTCGCGTTTGCGAAGCACAAATTTGGGCTGTCTAATTTTACCCTTCGCGAACGAGAAGGCCATCTCGCGAACGCGAAGCTTTCCTGGCTTGTCCTTCGCGAACGCGAAGGCAAATTACCTGGCCAGCCTCTTTCCTTTCGCGAACGCGAGGCTTCGATCGCGAACGCAAAGCTTCGCACCTCAACCCTTCGTGAACGCTTTCTCCCTATCGCGAACGCGAAGCACAAAACGTGCCAGTCTAATTTACTCTTCGTGTTCGCGAAATTACCTTCGCGAACGCGAAGAAGAACACACCAGAAGCCTGAAGTCTGTAGAAAACTAGATTTTCTAAGTCTGAAATCATCCCGAAGCCTATCCGAAACTCACCCGAGCCCTCGGGGCTCCAAACCAAACATGCACCCAAATCCTAAAACATCATACGAACTTGCTCGCGCGATCAAATCGCCAAAATAACACCTAGAACTATGAATCGGACCCCAAACCAAAGGAAATTTTCAATAAAACTTTTAAACTTATATTTTCACAACCGGATGTCCGAATCACGTCAAATCAACTCCGATTCTCACCAAATTTGGCAGACAAGTCATAAATATTATAGTGGACCTATACCTGGCTCGAAACTAAAATACAGACCCGGTGTCAATAAATCTAACATCAGTAAATTCTTAAAAATCATTAAGCTTTCAAACTTTTAATGTTTCATCAAAATTCCATATCTCGGGCTAGGGACCTCGGAATTCAATTCCGGGCATACGCCCAAGTCCCAAATTACGATATGGATCTACTGGAACTATTAAAATACTTATCCGAGTCCGTTTTCTCAAAATGTTGACCAAAGTCAACTTAGTTGAGTTTTAAAGCTCTATTTCACATTTTTATCCATTTTTAACATAAAAACTTTTCAGAAAATTTTACGGACTACGCACGCAAGTCGAGGGGTTATAAATAGTACTTTTCGAGGTCTTAGAATACAGAATTAATTATTAAATTTAAAAATAATATTTTGGGTCATCACATTCTCCACCTCTAAAACAAGCGTTCGTCCTCGAACGGAGTTAAAAAAAAGTACCTGAACTGGTGAATAAGTGTGGATATTAACTCCGGATGTCCGACTCGGACTCCCAGGTAGATGCCTCTATCGGCTGACCTCTCCATTGCACTCGAACTGCAGGATAACTCTTAGACCTCAACTGCGGGACCTGCCGGGCTAGAATAGCCACCGGCTCCTCCTCGTAAGTCAAATCTTTGTCCAATTGTACTGAGCTGAAATCTAACACATGGGACGGATCACCATGATATTTCCGGAGCATAGACACATGGAACACCGAATGAACCGCTGATAAACTAGGTGATAATGCAAGCATGTAGGCTACTTCACCCACCCTTTCAAGAATTTCAAAAGGTCCAATATACCTAGGGCTCAGCTTGCCCTTCTTTCCGAACCTCATTACACCTTTCATAGGTAAAACTCGGAGTAATATTCTTTCTCCAACCATGAATGCAATATCACGGACTTTACGGTCGGCATAACTCTTTTGTCTAAACTGAGCTGTACGAAGTCAATCCTGAATAACTTTGACCTTATCCAAAGCATCCTGTATCAAATCGGTACCCAACAACTGAGCCTCTCCCGGTTCAAACCAACCAAGTGGCGATCGGCATCACCTTCCGTATAATGCCTCATATGGAACCATCTGAATGCTCGACTGGTAGCTATTATTATAAGCAAACTCAGCAAGTGGCAAGAATTGATCCCATGAACCTCCAAAGTATATAACACAAGCGTGAAGCATATCTTCCAATATCTGAATGGTGCGCTGTGACTGTCCGTCTGTCTGTGGATGAAATGTTGTACTCAACTCAACACGGGTGCCTAATTCACGTTGTACAACCCTCCAGAAGTGTGAGGTAAATTACGTACCTCGATCTAAAATAATAGACACAGGCACACCGTGTAGGCGGACAATCTCACGAATGTAAATTTCAGCTAACCGCTCTGAAGAATAGGTGACTGCCACTGGAATGAAATATGCTGACTTGGTCAACCTGTCCACAATGACCCAAACTGCATCAAATTTTCTCTGATTCCATGGAAGTCCAACAACAAAATCCATAGTGATACGCTCCCACTGCCACTCAGGAATTTCTAACTTCTAAAACAAACCACCAAGTCTCTGATGCTCGTACTTAACTTGTTGACAATTCAGACATCGAGCTATATATGCAACTATATCCTTTTTCATTCTCCTCCACTAATAATGTTGCTGCAAATCTTGACACATTTTGGCGGTACCTGGATGAATAGAATATCTGGAACTGTGTGCCTCTTCAAGAATTAATTCACGAAGCCCG